GCCTGCAGCCCTGGGGGAGCCTGGCACAAGCATCCAACAAGAGTTCATCAGACCCTGGGTTCTAAGGCTCCTGCTTAGAGGGGGAAAGGGCTGGGACCTCCAGGCTCAGTGGGGCACCCTCCCCTCCACGGGTGCTCCGGCTCAGATGCCCCAGAGAGCCCACACCCCGCTCCACTGGCAGGTGCAGAAGTCTGGGTTGAAGAACTGCCCCGCCTCCAGCCTGGCACTGGGAGGAAAGACCCCCGCATCCCTCCTCTCCCCGCAGGGACCCGAGCTCCTCCCGTAGCCACCCATGAAGGGACCCTGCCCCGCCACTGACTCGGGGCTGCCTGTGCAACCGCCGGAGAGGACCACATGTGATCCCTGACGCTTGTTTATAAATGCACTGCAACTTCCGCCTTGCTCTCCACGATCGCCCGACCTGGGGATGCCAGCCACTGTGTCGTGAGGATGCCCAAGCAGCCCCTTGGAGATCTGCTCACAAGGGAAGGGACGGGGGCCACAGCCCACAGCCTGCACAGCTGGCGGCTGGGACAGTGAGTGGGCTTGGAAGCAGGGCCTCCCGCCCAGGGTGGGCCTTCAGATAATGCGGCCCCAGCCGTGACTGCACCTCGAGAGAGCCTGAGCCGAACCGCCCGGCTAAGCCGCTCGGAACACCTGACCCACAGGTGTCGAGAGAGGACGAGTGATTACCGCGGTTTTAAGCTACTGAGTTTGAGGGGACTTGTTTCACAGCATAAACAACCAACGCAAAGCTAAGACACAAATAAAATGTTTCATCATTTGAGTAACACGATCGCATGATTGGAAAGGTGGGAATGAGAGAAATGGAAACTCGCCCCCAAGCTCCTCCGCTCCGCAGCCCTTGCTCCTCCAAGTCCTGTCTCCTCCTCACACTGGGAACACGGTTGCTCACTCAGCTCCTGACAGCAGAGCCTGAGTTGGGGGCTTGGGTGCTGGTGGTTTATCTGGGGGGATCCAGCTGAGGGAGGAGGGCAGGAGAGCCAACACACAGGTGCATTATGGAAGTCTCCCGACGCTTCCAGGACCTGCTGAGAAGTGTTCCAGATGCCCCCCAGATGGTCTGTCTGCAGACGGGAGGCCGGGGTGTGGACTGACTGGAGAGGGCTGTCCTAGGGTGTTACCACCTCGGGGCTCAGCGCACACTGGGGGTGGGGCACTGTCAGGGTGAGGAGGGTCCGAGCGCACTCAGAACGGGCCACCACTGTGGAGGCTGAAATGCAGGGGGTGAGGGGCTGTGATGTGGTCAGCAGGGCGTCAGGCCCGAGGTTATTCTCGGTCTATACGTGTACCTAGCGCTCGGCTTTCGCTTTTACCTGACTCAACAGTCAACCACAAGCTCTTTTTTCATTGCTCACGTTTGACCCTGAGACTTGAGGACGATTCTGGAAGGACAGTCATAAGGACGTTTACCGAGCACTTGCTCATGCCAGGCGGAACTAACCTGGCTCTGCCGAGCACTGTCTTGTCCTCCGAGGCTGGCACTGTCACCGTGACCCCACTTTACACATGACGAAACTGAGGCAAGGGGTCGTTACAGTGTGCAGACCAGTGACGGGGGATCAAAAGCTGCATGCAGGGGCCGGCCTGGTGGTGCAAGCGGTTAAGTGCGTGCGCTCTGCTGCGGCGGCCCGGGGTTCGCCGGTTCGGATCCCAGGCGCGCACAGACGCACCGCTTGGTAAGCCACACTGTGGCCACGTCCCATATAAAGTGGAGGAAGATGGGCATGGATGTTAGCTCAGGGCCGATCTTCCTCACAAAAGAAAAAAAAAAGCTGTGGGCGCCGGTGCCACTAGCCACACCCTGCCCCATGGCTGGCCCTCGGCCCCCCACCAGGGCCACTCCTTTGTGGCCCTGCCCCATCTAGCCACACCCTGCCCCATGGCTGGCCCTTGGCCCCCCACCAGGGCCCCTCCTTTGTGGCCCTGCCCCATCTGGGGCCAGGCCTCCTGGGCTGGAGGCCGCTTTCCAGAAATCCACTTAGCTCTGACCTTGGCTTCGTCCTCCTCGGAGCTAATCTGCTAATCCTGCCGCCCCTGCACCCCGCCCTGGTCTGGATCCTCCGGACCCACCTCCTCCTGCGTTCCCCCTCCCAGCTGGGGGCTGGTGGGCAGGTCTGGGGACAGTGGGTAGGTGGGGATGGGACCCTCAAGCCCAGGGAGGATTTGGGCATCTGGGATTCAGGCCTCCCCTCACGCAGCCATCACCTTGGTGGCCTCCGTCTTCTCTTGTGTAAAGGAAGTCAGTTCAGAGCCAACCTTTCTGCTAAGAAATCACAGATCTTCTCCACGCCCCTTCCTGCCTGCCCATCCCACCCAGCAGTGTGCGGGCTCTGGCCTCCCCAGACCCGGGTTCAAGTCCAGGCTCCGCCTTAACTGAGCTTCAGTTTCCTAATCTGCAAAAGGGGGTGGCGGTCCTTCCTCTCCCGGGCACAGTGCGCCCTGTGGGGGACAGCGGGCGTAAGTCCCCATGCGCGCGCGGGGTCAGCATTCAGAGAACGTTTGAGGAAGGGAATCGCCCGACCCTCTCCTTCACTCCCCACACTGATGCCCAGAACATGGAGATGAGACAGATCGGAGCCTGTGAGCCTGTGGGGAAGGCCACACCCACCGCCCCACGGCAACGGTGGCTCAGATAAAAACCTCCCAGAGAGAGATTTGGGGCAGGAGAGGAGGAAGAGAATGACACACATGAGGGACACGGGTGCTGCTCTTGCTAGGTCAAGCTAAACACTTGAAAACAATTAATAATTAAAATACATCTGAAAGTCCCAGAATGAGGTGGGGAATGGGCTGCCTTAGTGGGTGCTGAGCTCCCGTTTCAGCGGAGGGCTCCCTTCTCCTAGGACCTCAAAGCTGGCACGCACCCCAGATGTTGCTTGATGCACAGCACAGCCTTCCCGCTGTTCTCTGCTGGAACGCAGCCAGGACAGGGAGCCCCCGCTTGGCGGTTAAACGTGGGAGGCCCGGAGCAGCCTATTCCCTACTTGCTGTGTGATCTTTGGAAGTTGCTTAACCTCTCTGTGTCTCACCTACAAAACGGGGAGAACAAGGGTCCTTTCCTCACAAGGCTGTGTCGAGTTAAATGAGCTGGTGAACTGAGATTCAAACCCAGGTCTGCAAGGCTCTGCCCTCCGCCCCCTGCTGCTTCTTAGGGAAGAACCGGGGGCCTCCGGGCACCATCCTACCACCCCCCACCCATGGTTGAGCACACAACTTCCAGGTGCCAGATGCCAATCTGGGCGCTGGGGACATAGCTGGGGATACAGGCGAGGTCCCCACCCAGACGATGATCAGTGTTGTAACCGCCTGGGGACTCTGGCAGAGCTGAGAGCACAGCAGGGCCGAGTGAGGGGACGGCCAGCGGAGACTGCGCTCTCAGAGAAGGCGACAGCTGAAAGGGACCACATGATGCGGAGGGCGGCACCGCACGGAGAGTCAGTCGACAGCCGGAGCTTCCGGGTGGGAGGGACCCCGACTGCTGGAGGAACAGCAGGCGCGTGAGGCTGCGGCAGCGAGGTGGGAAGTGGAGGCAGCCCGGAGGAGCCAGCCGGGCCTGGGCAGGCGGCCTTGGGACAGCGCGGCGCCGCCCTGCAGGATTCTGCCCAGAGGGGTGGGCGGGCACTCACTGTCGCCTTCCAGCGGTGACTGCGGCTGCTGAGGGTGGACGGAGGGGCAGGACCAGAATAGGCTTCCAGTCTGGGCATCCGGCTGGGCTGGGGGTTCAATGCACCCTGGTGAGGGGGGACAGGTTTGGGCGGGGGAGGCCCCGGCCCGTTTTCATGCCCACCTCTGTTCCTCTGTCCTGGGCCTCCTCCACATGCCACCACTGGCCTAGCCATGAGCCTTCCACAAGGGGACCCGCTCACGACTCCCCAAGGGGGCACCCTAAGATCTTCCCAGGGGCTGGCTGGCGGCTGAAACGCCAGGGCACCCGGGCGGCCAGTGCGGCGCGGAGCAGCGGAGGAGCGCGGGGGCTCAGGGCAGGTCCGTCCACTCGGGCCGCGCTTCCCACCACCGGCCCTCACAGGGACAGCGGCCACTTTCTGAGCACCTCTGGGCGTGGGCCCATTCTAGCCACCTCCCGGAGCCCCAGGTAACAGACGCCTGGGGGCCTCGAACCCCAGTCTGACCCCAGGCCCCCGGCCGGGTGCCTGCCATCCAGCCCCACGCTCCCAGCACCCCCGCCCGTGAGAGTAGTCTCAGCCCCAATCGACACAGGGCCAAACCGAGGACTCCAGAAGTTTCCTGAGACCCCCGGCCTCCGGACCCCCTCCCTCAGCCCCGGCGCAGCCCGCCCTCTTCATCCTCACGGCGGCGGGGGTGGCTGGTCAAGCCCGCCCCCCGACCCTCCCCACCAGCCAGCAAGCGCTAAAAGGCCAATGCCGGACTCCACGGCCGGCTGCCGCGGGCGGGGCGCGTGACCGCGGCGGGGGGAGCGCTCCCATTGGGCCGCGCCGCCCACGTGACCCCCGGGCTGGGCC